CAGCCTGTTCTCCTCCTGTTCTGTCTCCCTGTTCTCCCAGTGTTTTCAGCTTGTCCTCCTCCTGTTTTGTCTCCCTTTCCCTCCTGTGTTTTCAGCCTTTTCTCCTCCTGTGCTGTCTCCCTCTTCTCCTCCTATTTTGTCTCCCTGTTCTCCTCCTAGTTTGCCTCCCTGTTCTTCTCCTGTTTTTTCTCCCTGTTCTCCCAGTGTTTTCAGCCCATTCTTCTCCTGTTTTGTCTCCCTTCTCCTGTTTTGTCTCCTGTGTTGTCTCCCTGTTCTCCTGCTGTTTTGTCTCCCTGTTCTCCCTGTGTTTTCAGCATGTTCTCCTCCTGTGTTTTCAGCCTGTTCTCCTACTGTTTTGTCTCCCTGTTCTCCTCCTGTTTTGTCTCCCTGTTCTCCTCCTGTGTTCTCTCCCTGTTCTCCCTGTGTTTTCAGCATGTTCTCCTCCTGTGTTTTCAGCATGTTCTCCTCCTGTTTATTCTCCCTGTTCTCCTCCTGTTTTGTCTCCCTGTTCTCCTCCTGTGTTGTCTCCCTGTTCTCCCTGTGTTGTCTCCCTGTTCTCCCTGTGTTTTCAGCATGTTCTCCTCCTGTGTTTTCAGCATGTTCTCCTCCTGTTTTGTCTCCCTGTTCTCCTCCTGTTTTGTCTCCCTGTTCTCCTCCTGTTTTGTCTCCCTATTCTCCTCCTGTGTTGTCTCCCCGTTCTCCCTGTGTTTTCAGCATGTTCTCCTCCTGTGTTTTCAGCCTGTTCTCCTCCTGTTTTATCTCCCTGTTCTCCTCCTGTGTTTTCAGCCTGTTCTCCTCCTGTTTTGTCTCCCTGTTCTCCCAGTGTTTTCAGCCTGTTCTCCTCCTGTTTTGTCTCCCTGCTCTTCTCCTGTGTTGTCTCCCTGTTCTCCTCCTGTGTTTTCAGCCTGTTCTCCTCCTGTGCTGTCTCCCTGTTCTCCTCCTGTGTTGTCTCCCTGTTCTCCTCCTGTGTTGTCTCTCTGTTCTCCCAGTGTTTTCAGCCTGTTCTCCTCCTGTTTTGTCTCCATGTTCTCCTCCTGTGTTGTCTCCCTGTTCATGCTCTCCTGTGTTGTCATGAAGTTTCAGAGTGACAGAGACAAACAGTGTCCCCATAACTATAGTAACCCAACGTCAGTCCTGCCTGCGTGCATGCAGTATGAGACGAGAGACGAGAGACGCTGACTGAGGTTACTCTGAGCAGAATGCAGGGCAATAAATTAGCCAACAATATAACAGACTGTTGTTCATTTCTCTGTTGGTCTGAATAATTCACTAGATTTGTCGCTAATTGCTTTTTAGAAATAAAGTTGCTGAGGGTTTGCAAAGGGTAGGCAGCAGACCAAACCACGGTGAGCCTTATGAGGTGGGAGGACATCATTTTTGAAAACCTAAAAATGCATTGAACTCATAACTCACGCTACCAGATATATGAAGTAGACTTTGACAGACAGATTTGTGTATCAAAATGATCGTTAGTTAGTTGCTGGATATTGGTAAAGACAGGTCAATCTCTACTAAATTCTGAACCTTTATGAGTGCTATGAAATACCACATTTAAGTTGTCTTTTTGTCTACAGTGTCCAGTTTACTGACCTATGTATAAACTTACTTTTGATGTATCTTTTGAAAGAATGTTAGCTAATTTTAGCTATTGCTGTGTTATTGCTGTCACTGTGTCAGTTCACTGACTGTTTATCTGTGGAATTAGAATAGCCTCATAAGTGTTAAAAAACAAATGTCAAGATTAGTCTAAGATACTGATCCAGATTATATAGGCTATACAAGTCTGCGGTCCAGTTAGACTTTCAAAATAATACAAAGGGTTAACCTTGAGAAACGGAGGGTAGTTAATGTTGTGAAATGCTTGTAATTTGGTTAGGTTTAGGCAACAAACTACTTACTACTTACCCCCACTAAGATAAAAGAGAGAAAATCAATAGTGAGATTAATCCTTAAGCCATATACACGGTGGCTTTCTGTGGTTAGTTGAGGGAAAGATGTTTATCAAATTGAAATAAAACAGATATGTGATATTTTTAACTTACCCAAGTCTGTCTTCCTCCTTCTTCCTCAGATCAAAATCTCGCTGGACGACTTCCCAAACATGTTTGGCCTCCTCATCTGTGAGCTTGGAGAGATCCACTTCTTCCCTGCTGTGGTCCCAGGCATTGTGAATCTGTGAGCTGGCAGGCTTCCCGGTGCTGGGCTATAGTAGAGTAATAAAAATATACAATAAGTTGTTTGCAAAAAAGGCAAAGTTAAGCCATTAGTCAGCACTGATATTGTTAGATAAGGATTTTACAAGAATACTAATGTTTAAGATGAACTGCAGTGAGAACACCATTGTAAAAATGTAAGTCACATGCATTACTTTTCCAAATAATCAATGAGTACTGCACTGACAATGACGCTATACATCATTAGGTGCTGATTGGTGGATGTTTCGGGAATTTATTTGATACACAACTGATACAAAATCCACAGTGCTCGTTCTTTGCAGAAATGCATTCTATAACTTACAAGTGGGTATCTCCTGGCAGTTTTATGCTGCCAGTCCTTTAGGCTGTTGTTTTCACCAAACAAAACCATCCAAAATAATAGTACTGATCATTGACTTGAAGCACTGATCTAGATTAGGTGCTTAAAACCTCTCTGCCACATGCATCTGTCCTGTGATCCGGGAAGGTTTGGCACAGTTCAACCATCACATTGCTGAAGGGATTTAATCAAGTCTCTGTTAAATAGAGCCTGCCCAACCATTTCACTTGGTCCAGTTTCATAATGATTGATTTCAGAGGATGAGGTAATTCCACACACACACACACACACACACACAACCAAACACATAATCAAAGAAGAGTAAAGGAATGCTCAGGAACATCACATTTTCCAAAAGCCATGTAAAAAAGCCTAATCTAGCCTAATCTACTTTAACAGACAAACATGTCACATCTAAATGGTAGAATCTGAGTAGAACATTGTAGTCCTCCAGCTATAAAAATATTGCTTACAACTTTTGCACAGTTCAGTTCAGCAGCAGTATACAAAAGATCTGTGTGTATTTGCTTAGCGGGTGTGAGCAATTTGGCATCTTACTCTGTTGTATCAAGGGAACATTATGAAAACACGCAGTTTAAAATGTCATAATATTGTTTATTACTGTGTTCTAGTCTTATTACTTAGCCAGTGAAATCTCATTTGTAGACTGTGTGGTCTTTAAGGGATTTTCTGCGTTAAGTCTGCAGCAGATGCACACAACTCAACAGGTGCAGATTTAATGGACTCCTTGTGTTTGCAAAAGGAAGGTTTGGCTTGATAACAGGTGTGGAGACACAGGAACCTGGAATAGTTTCCCAGGTAGAGTACAGATAAAGCATACATTTGTACTTTCCAATTCAAACTTCTTTACATTGTTCTTATGTGGAGATTTAAATGGGGCAACCTTGGAAACCTTTCAGTAGATTTAAGAAAGTTGAAAAAAGCTATTTGGCATTTGCTTTTAAAAACGAAATTCATAAGTGGTGTCTCTATTAACAAGTTGGAACCTTTTTAGACATAAGTTTGGTCAAATCAGTGTTGCCCACTGACAGTTTAAGTTGCATGAATCTAAAACATTAACATTAACAACATTAATATTACAGTAACATCTCTGAGATTCCAACACATGTAGGCATTAACATAATTTACACCTTTTTTTTCTCTTAACATTAATGTATATATGACTTACCTTGCTGTTGACAGAGTAGCCTGCAGGCAGTAGCAGACCAGGCTGACTGCGGGGGAAACTAAGTAGCAGACAGCAATGCTAATCACATGTCTAGTTAACCAGGAGGAAGAAAGGCAGGGAGACATGCCTCCTCTCCGCCTTCCTTGACTTTACTTCAAAAGGTCCTGTTATTGATAGCAGTACACTATTAAGCACACTGTAACAGCTTTTGGTTTGCATTTACATTATGTGGAAAATGCCTGACTAATGGTGAATCATTCTGTTTGGGTGAAATTATTTTGGGCATGTCATTACTTGGACAACATGTGAAGTGATCATGAGGTAAGCCAGTTGGGCTTAAGTCCCCGGTCACATGTCATGGACCTTATGTTAAAGGAGAGTGGTGATGCATGACCTCAGAGATATTAACTGACAAGTGAATACTCTTTACCCCGATGTGCTGCATTCATGAAAAACATTGGGGTGTCTTTTCATGTGTAACGTTACAGCAGCAGCAAAGGAATGCAAAGTCTTTCAGAAATCTTTTTATATCAGTTAATAATTGATGCAATGTTGGTATAAGGGTAATATGAGACGGAATATAGTTAATAAAGACTTAATTATTATTATATTACTATAATAACTAATTGGGGGGTTGAACTTTCTTTCTTTCTCTGAGAGGACTGACGTTCCACCGACGAAGCCAAACATTTGCACGTGAAATGCCAACCTGGAAGACAAAGTTGGAAGAGTTTTTGTATGTCGAGATTATTATATTACTCTAATGTGATGTGAAAGCAGCGTTGGAACAAGTAAGGATGGTCGTCACAAAGTAAACTCCCCACTGATTGTGACAAAAATCTGCACTCAGAAACTCATCAGGTAAAATTTTAAAGAATCTAAACGGCTGAATTGAGAAGTTTGTTCATTTATTTATCTCATTCTCTCATAAATATATTTGCTCCCATTTCCTCCCTCAGTGGGTAATGTTATCCAAGAGGTTGATTTGAGCCATGTGACCCGTCCAGCAATCCAATTTTCTTGTTTTCTCAACCACCAGGCCTTGTCATCTTCCTGTGGAGAAAACAAACATGAACAGTGGAAGATTATTCACAAAGTTTTTTACACTTTGCAGTGAAGTTAACTGCATTCTGGTGAATGTATCTGTATATACTGCACAGTAGTTATTGTTATTGTAGCAAGACACAAGCCACAAGCCTGAGCTAGACCTGTGGACCAAAGTCACTTCGATTCAATTGGGTTTTATTAGCATGAGGAACAGATGTTTACATTGCAAAAGAAAGCATGTAACTAAAAACATGTACATAAATGTTCTCTGAGTATATTCAATAAAGTCCAGTTGCAAATGTTTTACCAGGAAGGAAATGCAATCAAAACACTTTAGTTTGACCTTTAGGATACACACAATTTTGATGAATTATACATTTTTAAAAGATCAGTATAAAATTTTCAAAAGACTCAATTAACACCAGTTAGTATAGCAAAAAAAGTAACAGTAGAACAATAGACATTTCTTTATGAATGCAGAAAGTAGTCGCAGCTGGCTGCCTGCACATAGACTAGCATTTTGGTTTCGTTCAATCTTTGATTATTTATTTATATTTATTTGCATAATGTTTTTTATTGTGCAGCCACTGAAAAACTGTCCAGCGTCAGTAGACTGACTTTGGTGCTTGTACAGCGCTTGCGTTTTTCTGTGACATGGAATGGATACTGCTTCACTTCCTCCAGTCCCCAAGTTTCCCAACAAGTCCTCTAACCTACAGTAAATGACAACATAGATCATTTTAACAAGCTTCCAAATTCAATACAAAAATTCTACAATAGTGCCCCTTCCTGTGTCGTTTGTCTATACCTCCCAGAATGGCAATTTCAAACTCTGTTTACCAATCGGACCTACATTTTGGAAATCACGTGACCTACGTCACATGACATAAACACGTGGAGACCGCAGTGATACAACATAGGTTCACTGGTCAACATGCATAAACTCACTGACTTAGGTTTAGACTCACACCCCTGTGAAGCTTAGGGTAAGGGTTAGCGTCTGTCAACACCTTTAAGACTAACATAGTTAGCTAGCAGGCTAATGCAAACATTACGAAGCTAACATAGCTAACGCTATTTAACTTTTTTTTAAAAAACAAATCAGTCTTGTTTCACAAGGGAACCGAACAATGGTCTCTCAGGTGAAAGGCGGCTAAGGCTCAATCCCATTTCACCCCTTGCCCCTACCCCTTGGCCCTACCGATTATGGGGTAGGGCGAAGGGGGAGGGATACATAGCCCTCGAAACAGAGATTTTTCAAAGGCACACTCCAAACGGAGGGCTGCAGGAAAGTTCAAAACAATCATAAAAACCCCCGCTAGTTCAGCCGCTAGCATTTTGTCTCGTTAGCTAGCTTCACTAGTAACGTTAGTAACCTGGTAATGAAGCTGTGCTTTTTATTTTTAATTGGTGACTTGTTAGATGCTTGATGTGTAATATAACGTTACCATACGAGATAGACAGAGTTGTTTTCAATCGTTGTCATGGAGAAATCCTGTAAAAACTCGTTGCTTCTATTAACGTCAGAGCCATCGTCGACTACTGATGACCTGTCGGGTTCCTGAAGGGTTGTTCCATTTCATAGGGGAATATTTCAACCCCTTGGCCCTTGTAACTCTGTTTTAAGGGCCAAGGGGTACACTCGAAAACAAGGGGTAGCGGCAAGGGGTGAAATGGGATTGGCCCTAAGTAGCGAACCTTCCACTCAACCCACCCCCACAGGAATAAAATGTGACTGTCTTTGTCATGTGTTTGTGTTGTAAGGCCACTGGAAGTTGCTGCCACAATAAACAAGAGGTTGCAACTTGTGGCCACTCACAGCCATAATCTCTCTTGTTTTAAGTCCTGCATCTGAGAGTTTTTGATTGTTGTACTGTGGAAGCAGTGGTTTGTGTCTGTCAAATTCCTGTTTGCTTGCATCTTCTTGGCAACATCGTTGCCAGGTGAATAAGTGTACCTGCACACCAAATGCATTGTTAGATGATGTCTTAAAGGGATAACCTAAAAAAAAACTTATGTTCAACATTCTACCTAACATTGTCAACAGCACAAAAAGAACATTTCTTCTTGGGTGAAGATAAAAAGCTGGTGCAGCTGGAAGAAGGTGGGAAATATGTTCATCCAGAGACGACACAGGAAAGAGAGGGTTGCCACGCAGTTCATACATGAATCCCCTTGTGCTCCCCTGTGTGTTACTGTAATTCTTCATGTGCTTGGAAATTTTAGCCTGTTTTCTTCTCTTTTGAGTAATCTAACGTTACTTTGTCACGGAGTGATATGGAACTGTGCAAAGGAATTTGACGTCAAGGCAGTCGTACACGCTCATTATAGCATACCATTACTTTGAACCAATCAGATCGCATGATTTTAGCTACCCGTTTTATAATCAATCTTAATTAACAACCCAGCAACCACGTTGTCCCAGTTTGTGCCCCTTGTGTATGCAAAAATGCAAAATAAAAATAACTTTTTATAGTTGACATTTTAAGATAACTCGCCATGATGTAGAGAAAATTGCCAGATGAGTGGAAGTTTCCCAACAATAAGAGCCTAAAAATATCTTTGAATATGATGAGGAAAATCATCTACAACAATGTTTTGGCTTCAG